TACATCAACAAAAAGAATTCCCCACACCAAAATCAAAAGAACATCATCACAACACTGACAAAAGTAGACAATTTACACATACTCTAACACTTGTCTCTTCACCATAATTACAACAACAAAACTTCCCCACAATTATTCTGCTCTCTAACAATGTTCAGTCCATGTTTTGTCCATTAACTCTCCCAATTACTATCCTTATCTTTAATTCCTCATGCTCCGTGTTGAGCTCCACAAAGGACTGTGGTGAGTTGACCTTGGCTGGCTGCCAGGTGCCCACCAAGCCACTCTAGCACTCCCCCTCCTCAACAGGACAAGGGGAAAAAATGCAGCAAAAAGCTCATTGGTCAAGATAAGGAGAGGGAGATCACTCAACAATTACCGTCACAGGCAAAACAGGCTCAACTTGGAGAAATTAATTTAAATTATTGCCAATCATATCAGAGTAGGATAATGATAAATAAGAAAAAATATAAAAAACACCTTCCCTCCATGCCTCCCTTCTTCCCAGGGTCAACTTTTATCCTCACTTCTCTACCTTCTCCTCCCAAGTGGCTCAGGGGGGATGGGAATAGGTGTTGCAGTCAGTTCATAACACTTTGTCTCTGCCACTCCTTCCTCATGCTCTTCCCCTGCTCCAGCATGGTGTTTCTCCCATGGAAGACAGTCCTTCATGAACTGCTCCAGCATGGGTCCTTTCCACAGGGTGCAGTCCTTCAGGAACGGACTGCTCCAGCATGGGTCCCCTGCGGTTTCACAGGTCTTGCCAGGAAACCTGCTCCGGTGTGGACTCCTCTCCACAGGGTCACAGCTTCCTTCAGGACACATCCACCTGCTCTGGTACGGGGTCCTCCTTGGGCTGCAGAGTGGATATCTGTTCCACTGTGGATGTCCATGGGCTGCAGGGGACAACCTGCTTCACTACGGTCTTTACCATGGGCTGCAGGGGAATCTCTTCTCTGGCTCCTGGAGCAGCTCTTTCTCCTCCTTCTTCACTGACCTTGGTGTCTGCAGAGTTGTTTCTCTCATATATTCTCACTCCTCTCTCCCAGCTGCTGTTGCGTCAGCATTTTTTTACCCTTTTTAAAATATGTTATCACAGAGGCACTACCAATGTTGCTGCTTGAATCAATCTGTGAATCAGACCATTTTTTTAATTTTTGTAAGTGTGAAGATAGTTAACCACTGGAATAGCATTTTGGGTCTAATGATAGAGACATCATATGGTATAGGATATCCCTTTGGTCAGTTGGGGGTCAGCTGTCCCAGCTGTGTCCTCTCCCAACTTCTTGTGCACCCCCAGCCTACTTGCTAGCAGGACAGTGTAAAAAGCAGGAGAGGCCTTGATGCTGTGTAAGCACTGCTCAGCAATAGCTAAAACATAGGTGTGTTAACACTGTTTTCATCACAAATCCAAAACATAGCCCCATACAAGCTACTGTGAAGAAAATTAACTCTATTCCATCCAAAACCAGGACAATATGAAAACAGATTTTCTCTGTGTAGTGAAATAACATAGCCTATACACCTATACACAATGAAAGGCATTGGTTTTAGTGTACACTTGTTATACATCTACTAAACTGCATAACTCTATGTTAGAATTTAAAGTTCTTAGTAGCAAGTTTTGTCCTCCCTTTTTTGAAGAGATTGAAAAGCTTTGGATAGATTATTGAGAAAAAGGGGGACAAGAGAAAAATAAATAAAACAGAGCGGTCTTAAGAAGATCATACAGAAACTTTCTTTTCCCTGTCCTAGCAGAACAGGGAATGAACAATGAATTTAAACAGAGACAAATTTCAGAACTGATATAAGGAAATGCTTTTGCATGCAGCCTGGATAATATGCCTGTGAAACTGATTGCTCCAGAAAGCTGAAAATTATGTCATGGTTATCTTGCGTGATCTTCTTATGCTACAATCTAAACTTACTCTGCTGGCAATATACAAAACTATGCAAACCTATTGTCTGATTGCTTATATCAATTGCTGTGTATAAAGCCCTTTAAAATGTGCATCCATATCAACAGAAGTGGTGGTCATCTAAAAAAACAGTATTTAGACAAATTAAGGTATGAATACATGCAGCTGAATTAGAAATCTTTTTTAATTGTGTAGGTGTCAAAATGCTACTGATTCATATAAATGGCCTCTACTTTTTTGCTGCAAGAATTTTTGCAAGATCTTGCAACTGGTTTCTAACCTAACTTTACAACTCTACAGAATAATAAATGTCATTGTTTTATAACCTTCTGGCAAGATACAAGCAAAATATAGCTGTTTCCCTCAGAGATAAAACACCAAAATGTTAGCAGAAACTGTGAGGACTTGCACAGCAAGCAGACTTAGTCCTAAGTAGTAGTGCCAGGGAGAAGACAGGAGTCTTAATCTCTTTCCAAGTTTAGGTCTGGCAAGAGCAGTTGGAACAGTTTTCAGAGGTGATGTGGAAGGGTAACTTTATAAAGCAAATTATCTCATTACTTCTCTTCCTGTTCCCTAACCAGGATAATTAACAGTCAAATGTTCCCTAAGATTTGTTTTATTTCTTGCCCAGCTAGTTGACAGACACTGCTGAGATTTGAATTCACAGTAGGTGAGAGCAGATGGCTACCTTTGCTAACAGATTACTGCACAAAGGCCTACAAACCATCCAGCTTTGTCTTAATAAAGTTCAACATATGATTTATAAAGTGAACATAATATAAGAAATCCATGACACCTATATTCGGAATCACATTACAGCACTGCTTAAAGCACTAGGAGAAGTGCTGAAGCAGTATATTTGTGCCGATTTACAAATTTTATAAGCAAGAAAGCATGGCAAATGGTTTGTCTTTTCTTGGGTATTACTTCCTCTCATTACAATTTACTGAACTAATTAAATTTAAAGAGAGATTTCCAGTATATATAGCTTTTATTGAACTTCTAGCAAACATATTAATGTGTTACAATTCACACTAATCAGATGGTTAATTGTTTCTTTGGGACTTTTTACATTAAAAATAAATAAATCCCTTTGCTAAACTTCTAAAACCGCAAGTAGATGATGAAACTACTATAATTAAAAAAAAAAAAGGGGGGGGGGGGGAAAGGGAGAAAGAGAAGCATTGTTTCAGGAAAAGTCATCAAAAGATAATACATTGGGGTGGATTGACCTTGGTTGACCATTAGGTGCCCACCAAGCTGCTCTATCACTCCCCCTCCATCAACGGGACAGGAAGAGCATATGACGAAACACTCATGGGTTGAGATAAGGACAGGGAGATGACTTACCAGTTACCGTCATGGGCAAAACAGACAGGGAAATTAATTTAATTTATTGCCAATTAATTGTAACAGAACAGGATAGTGAGAAATGAAACAAAACTAAAAACACCTTCCCTCCATCTCTCCCTTCTTCCCAGGCTGAATTTCACTCCTAATTTTTCTACCTTCTACCCCCTGAAGGGTAGAGGACAACTTGAGTCACTAAGATCTTCACCACCAGCTGCAGGGGAATCTCTGCTCCAGTGCCTGGAGCACCTCCTCCCCCTCCTCCTTCAATGACCTTGGTGTCTGCATAGTTGTTTCTCTCACATTTTTTTCTCAGTCCTTTCTCTCACAGCTGCTGCACAGCATTTTTTACCCTTTTCTTAAATATGTTATCACAGAGGCATCACCAGTGTCACTGCTTGGCTCAGCTTTGGCCAGCAGCAGGCCCATCTTGGAGCCGACTGGAACTGGCTCCGTCTGACATGGGCGCAGCTTCTGGTTTCTTCTCACAAAAGCCACCCCTGCAGCCCCCCACTACCAAAACCTTGCCACGTAAACCCAGCACATACATACATATCCAACACAGCAAATAAGTTCTGTTATTTGACAGGATAAATTGCAAGTCAAACTTGCCTGGAATTGTTGATGAGAAATGCCTCATAATCGAGGGTAAGTATTCTTACAATTTGTAGGAGCTCCAAATGATGGTGCAGTATGTCTGAAGGAATATTCAGCATGTTATGTAAGTATTTGCTATGCAAATAAATATGATGTGAGGTCTTGCATGCCTAAAGCCTTTTGACATTCCTGACAATATTTTTGAGGAGGGTCAGCTCCAAAGTAGCCTATAACATGTTGGGTTTTTGGAAACACGCAGTATATTGGTGCTGTTACTCTTGAAAATTCCCATGTTTTTGGGTGCTGAAAAATGAGAAAAATGAGATATGAAGTGGTTTATAGCTTTGTGAGATGGTAGGTGAGTCCTGGCTCTTGCAAAAGCTAAGATGGCTTACTGGTGAGTGGTACCATCTCACAGCTTTTCTTCTTTCCCTCTTTTTTGAAGGCAATAGCTAAGTCTCCTGAAGCAGCTCTGTGCAGTTGCTGATCTTCTCTTCTGTTCTTTTTCTCCTCTGGTTTGATCTGTTCAGGGCTTTGTTTGCCTCTTGTGCACTTTGTACTTGAAGGTTTTGCTCTGCTGTCTATGACCTCTCTGTATGAGAAGGAGGGCTTCAATCTCTTATGTAATACCGTGGGGTAATGGGATTTTCGTTTTAACTGTAGTAGAGAATAGTGGGAATACCACAATGTAAATTAGTCCCTGGAAAATAGAGATTTCATTGCAACTGCTACAACAGAGATAGATTAAATTTCCTGTGTTAAAAAATGGAGGGATTATTTTTGTTTAAGTTAAAACCTGAAGTTAGGATAACTGCTATTTACCCACCTGAAACATTTTCCTCTATAATTAGCTTAATGTATTTCCACATGCTAGAATGTTTCCTTTTGATGTGAAATGAAGGAGGCAAAAAAAATTTTATGTAACAGCTTAAGGATTGTATTTATATATCTCCAACAATGCTGTTTGTACTCCCTTCCTGAACAATAACTGACCACAGTAAATTTTAAGTAAGCAGTGTTTTTGATTGCATTTATGCATTTCCCATAGAATTGAGCAGTATCTATTTCTGGCAAACAAAAATATCCATGTGGTGGTTTTTTTGGGTGTGTTTTTTTTTTTTTCTTGTATCATAGACTTGCCCTCAGCAAACTTAAGCAATTACAACATCAGCGTGGTGGAAGGAAAGAGCATCACACTGTACTGTGATACTACTGGAGGGCCGCCCCCTAATGTATCCTGGGTGCTTACTAATCTTGTTTCAAACCATGAGGTAAGTTTCATATTCAAATACGTGGCAATTCAGATACAAGACATATGCCAAAGGATAAATAAAGCCTTGTCTCTAATTTTAATTAACTTTTTATAAAAAAAATGAAATGACTGCTTGCAGGGCTTTTGGAAAATGGCAAACGTTCATTCCTTGAGAAACTGATTTGCACTTAAGTTTTTGGATGTTTTTTTGTAAATGAGAGTGCTGTAATTTCATGGAAGTAATGTAGGAAATCGGGATATTGAAGCTTAAGTACTTTCTTATTATCACAAATACCTGCATAGAGAGAACAAGTACAATCTACTCCAATTGTGAGAAAAGCTTTGTCTCTAAAAATTATATTTTTAGGCCAAAAGCTTGGTGTGCTGGAACTTTGGTTGTAAATATTAATTACGTTGTGGTTTGTTTCATTTTCCTTTAAGAAAACAAAATAATAAGACAGTCATGAAAGTCAAACTCAAGGTTTTACTATGGCAAAATTTTCTTATGAAGTATCTAAATGTTTCCTCAATGAACCCATCCAGACAGTGGGAATTTTGTTTCCTGAGATCCTGGTATTCTGTGTACCTGCCTTAGACTGTGTGTGCAGTAGAAATATACTGATTAAGTTCTTTCTGATGGAGATGTTGATAAGGAGAAGCACTTAAGCAGTTCTTCAACATGCAGCTGTTGACCTTCTAAATTGCCATTGCGTACACTGTGCAAGACACTCTGTTATTTACAATTTTATGGCATCAGCTCCCCTGCATTCATGAGAGTACAGACTGCCTAAAGCTTTCTGGTCTGTACAAAGTGCATGATGTGTACTTCCAAAACTGTTCCTGCAGTATGGAAGAGACAGGACCTCTGGGTTCTCTTAACCTCTGCACTTTCTTCACTGAGGTCATTACATTAGGCTTATGTAGAATTTGACTAGCTTGTCTTTCAGCTTTCATAAGAGTTTTGAAGAGCTCTAGTTTTATTTTTAAACTTTTCTCTAATATGTAAAACTACCCAAATGCATCAGTTATCAACAAGAACAAGAAATTAAAACAGTTTGAGGAATTTATGCAGTTGTGGTGTTTTACTTTTTTTTTTTTTTTTTTTGAGTTGTGAGCCAAGACAAATGTGGGATACTGTTCAAAAAGTAAGATCACATCATTTTTTAACCTTCTTGTCTTTCAAATGCCATGTTCAGTTTGCTTCAAACTTTCCTGAAAAGCTTTTTTATCCTGACATAACTTTGTGAGAGGGGCTTATAATATAGCTGTGGAGCATAGTAGTTTCAGTTAGCAGAAGAATGAATGCCTTTTAAAGCTCATTTGCCATTCACAACTTTCCTTTTCTGTGACTGTTTGTTTTGGTTTCCTTTTTCTCACTTCCATATCCTTGTTTCTGCCTCTTTTTTCTTAAACTCTTATGCTACTTCTGCCTGTTTTTCTTTCCTGTTTTACAAGGAGAAATGTTAGCAAAAGTGAAAACCAACCTTCAGTCCTGCAACGTTAACCACATGCTCAGCTTTCATGCTGATGTATAAGTTGGATAATGTCAGTTAGACTTTTTCTTGCTATATGTTTCATCCTGAGCCTGCAATTGAAGCCCTGTGCTTTGACTCCTGCTTTGAGGATTGCTCACCTCTGAGAGTTGCACATGGAGAAACGTGCATTGGGGTGTTGGCTTTTCCACTCCTGCCCCAGTGTCACAGTGCAATCAATGGGACATCTGACTTAAGTGGATTTAAGGTGTCATATTGATGTTTATAATTCTGGTTCTGCAATCCTGTATGCAGGAGTGTTCCCACATGTCCCCATTGTCTACCACTGGAAGTCACTGTGGTTTTACAGGTGCAGCATATCATTTGCTTGTGTTCTGTGCAGCATCAAAGCATATGTGTACAAGTACCCTATAAGGTGTTTTTTTAAAAAATCATCATAATTGTTGTTTATTTTCTAAATTTGTTTTGGTTCCTTTCCTTTTTACTAAAATAATCTTGCATTTTATGAAAAATTCAAGTATGGAAATAGTAATTATCTGGCTGTCATTTTAAGGACCTCATTTAAGATAACAGAGACTTTAACAACTAGCTTTGCTAGCTGGTATTATTTTTTTTTAAATTTTTGTAATTAGTTTTTGCTTTATTTTTGTAATTCATTTTTTAATTTACTTTATGCAGTGTAGCATAGATGCGTATTTAATATAGCATTTAATACACTGAACTTTCTGCAAATCATAATTCTTACCTCAATTAGCCTGTGCTCAAGCACAGTAGCACTTGGGCAGTAGTTCAGTTAGTAGAAGAGACGTACTCTCTTGTGGAAGGTTCCATGATAGCAAAAAGCTTTTAGGAGACATTTGGCTAAGGAGAAGGGAGAAGACATGTTGTTGTCAAGGTGCAGTAGAGCTCAGAAGGCAGTAGTAGAAGAGATGTCAAGCTAAGTGTAAACGAAAGAGATAAAAGGAAGAGTAAAGCAAGGACTGAAAAGAATATAGGAGTGAATAAAAAAATTAAAGAGTTAGAGATAGACCATAGAAATCAATCATGAAACTGAAAAGAAGGATAAGGAAGGGAAAGGGTGCAGGAAAATCATTTGTGTAGAGAGAAAGAGGTGTCAAAAGAAGGGAAAAACAGAAAGTGACATGGTGGAAAAATTAATGAGGTTTTGGGGCTTTGAATCCACCACTACCGATGGTTACAATTGGTTCTGTAGGTGTTTTTCATCTGTTTGGATAAGACACCAAAGTAATGCTTTGATTAATTACAGTTTGATACAGCTAAAAGGATGGGAAAATGGAAAATGCTGTTGAACTGTGGCCAATGGATCCCCCTCTCTCCATTGTTTCTTTATGCCATATTTGGCACATCCATATTCTTTGATCATTTGTAGAGTGACACAAGTAAGAATCCTGCCTCGCTAACCATAAAGAACATTTCATCTGTGGACAGCGGACTGTGGATTTCTTGCATAGCAGAGAATATTGTAGGAGAGGACCAAGCCTCTGCCGAGCTCACAGTATTCTGTACGTAAGCAGGCTAAAGCACATTGGCAATAACTATTTTGGGTATAAATATTTGTTGGGCATACAGGTTGTTGAAACAGAAACACCCTTTAAGCATGTGAACTATCTGTTGCAGTTAATTCTGGGAATAGCCCAATGAGCAGTTGTTATTTTTACCCTTTTCTGCTCCGAGTTCTTCTGCGAAAATTATGTTTCTAAATTCTTTATCTTCCAGTCTGAGCAATCTGTAAGTAAATGTCTGAAACCCCAAATACCCAGTGGTACTGTACGCGTGAACAGGTTTGTAATGGTGTGCATATACATACACACTATATTAGGAATTAAGAAACATGAATGCATCAAAATTCATAGAAATTATTTATAATAAAATACAAATTTTAAAGTTTTTTTTTTAATTAAACCAGCAATTGCTTTGTTCAAAAATTAACACACTTGCATCATTTATTCTGCCAGATGTAAATTTATTTGTCATAGCTTTGAATAATTATTTGTCAGGGCCAAGGAAGGGGGAAGGGATATGTAGTATAGAAGCATTGGTTTCTTAGATCTGATATTCCAGGCTGAATTAATTTTATGTGAAATATCTTTTCACAAGTTGCAACCCTCTGTTTAACTGAAGATGGGAATGGAATGGAAATTTTTTTTCAGCATGTGCTCATGACAGTAAACTTGAGAAATCACTCTAGAAGCACTTAAAATGTTTTGTAGGTGGAAATGAGATATGTAATATCTATGAAAAGGGTCATAAACTAGAAATGTTTGAAAAGTGTAAATGAGATTATGAGAATGGCACTGTTATGAGTGATAAAAGGGAATATAACTAGATGAAATTGGATGCAGTTAAGAATGAATATCAAGGAAAATTTCTTAACAACAAAATAATGTGCAAGGTATTGGAATAGTCTCCTGGGGGAAACAGAAGTCTGCAAACTTGCAAAATTTAGCACATTTGAACAAAGAATGAGAAAATGTATAGTAGAAAATGGTCCTTCCCTGACAGAAGAATCCAGGGAATGAAATGAGCTGTTCTGGCTTTGATTCTTTTAAAGAAGTCACCTGAAAGTTTTGATTCCTAGCTGAATATATTTCCAGTACTACTTGCTTTTGGCTGACATAAATATTTTTAATACTGTTTTGTTCCTTCATCTGTCCTCTGTGCCATTTTTTCAGCACAGTAAAGCTAAAATTTCCCTATCTCCCTTCTCAGTGATCTGGTAACTGAACTTTCCACACCTTGCAGAGTAAGTGATTTAATGGGGCTTCACACTTTGTCTGAAACTAGTTTGTTTTGTTTCCTTCTAAAGAATGGCTTCATTTCAGTTGTGAGCACAGTACCCAAGGCAGAGCAGGTGGGCTTCCTGCGTGAGTAACCTCCAAATAGGTATAATTCCTTAAAGTAGCGTATTTTAGCACTGATAACCTGAGATAAAAAGACGTTTGGGATATTCTGATGTTCTTCACTCTTTTTTTCCCAATATAGTTGCACCAAATATCACATTTATTGAATCCCCAACCCCGGACCACCACTGGTGTATTCCATTCACTGTGAAAGGGAACCCTAAGCCCACATTGCAGTGGTTCTATGAAGGGGCTATATTGAATGAGTCTGAATACATCTGTACTAAAATACATGTTATCAATCAAAGTGAATACCACGGCTGCCTACAGCTGGACAACCCTACCCATCTGAACAATGGTGCTTATACCTTACTAGCAAAGAATGAGTACGGAGAGGATGAAAAACTGATCAATGCTCACTTCATGTCAGAGCCTGGAGATGGTGAGTATAATTATTTTTTTATGTTAACAATTGCAAATTGTCAAGAATGTGTAGACAGTGCTCCTGGCCATCTTACCTATTTTGGAGGAAGCTTTTTATACACATGTTTTTTCTCTGAATGAACGTCTTCAAGATTAGTTGTAAAACAAGAATTTTTTTTAACATTTTCTTCTTGTTTATTGCTTTTCAAGGTAGGCCATGCCTAGTGCTCTTTAAATCCTCCCTTTGAGTAATCATCCTCAGTGCCAATTAAGGCTAGTAAAAGATTGCTGTTTCTGAAGTGTTTTCTTTAGCCTCAGTTCTGATCCTGGAAAGCACTGGGTACCAATTCAGTCACTCTGCAAGTTTTCTGTCTCTGTGTACAAGTGCAACTAGGCAGTGTATCCAAGGGCACAGGGGGTATGCCTATGTAGCATCTAGTGCATTGATGCAAAATCAGTAATACAGTCCAGTGAGTTGATGATAATATTTTGTGTAGGACACTAGAGGGAGCTGGACAGAAAACAAGTAACCCAGAGGCAGGATGGACCAGCTCTCAGATCCTCACAGGCATTTAGACATCCAATTCCCATTCATTTCGATGGAATTTGGGCATCTGCATGCCTAGGAATATCCGTGCTCAAAACTTATCTTCAAATGTATGCATCTTATGCTGCTCCAAAGGCTCCAGGTCAGAGCTCCTAAAGGCTATGTGAGCAGTCTCAAGGTGGACTAATTCATTGAACTTCAGGGACTACTGTAAGTACTTAATGTACATTGTGGTTTGATCTTTTCCCACATCTTCAAAACCATATTTGAAGTGACTGTAAGAATACGAAGGTGTACATGTAAGTGCATTGCTGTATGTGAAAAAAACTGAGTGGACCTTGAGTGGAAATATAGGTGTGGTTTTATGCAAATTGCAGAATCATATCTGAAAATATGACCATGTGTATACCTTTGGCTTTTAAACCATGGGATAGAAATAGCCTCCCTCTTTTTTGAAACAGCAATATGCAGTACTAATGTTATGTGATAGAAAAAATATGAATATTTAAATTCCCTCTCCTTTATTGTAGGCTACAGACAGTAAAAATATGGTCTGTATTTAACATTTGTTCCTATCAGCTCAGCCTGCTACAGGGAGAGAGATGGCAAGTCTTTTTCTTTCCCACCCTTAGAAAAAAAAGGTGAAGACCTGATATAATCGGGCTCCATTTTCTCCTGCTGTTCTTCGTAGCTCCTCTCTTCTTTTTTCTCTACAGTCCTTCCTTAAATAGACTCATTACAGAAACAGGTCATGGTTTCAGCTACTGGCATCCTTTAATACTACATCATAACAGTTCAGTAAAACAGTTCACCTCATTCTGTATGCAATGGAAGTTCTTTTACACTCTGATTATTTAATATGAATTTGGCTTAATTTTCTTAACAGAATAAGTTCCTCTAATACATTTATATGAATTTATGATTGTTTTATTTTAATGTTCCATTTTTCTTTTATGCTTGTCCCCTGTAAGCTGAAAATTTCCCAGTTGTGGCCTTTTAAATTAAAGGTATCCTCCCAATTATTTATTTGTTCCTTCCTTTTTATAAACATATGCATTATAAATCTCCAAGATAATCTATGTTGTGTTCAAACTGGACTACATAAAGACAGGATGTAAATGCATTAGAAATGCAGTCACCAAACCAATCTTAAAAATTAACAGCAGGGGAAATGACTTATCTAGTTAGCCTCCACAAGGTTGTTTTTATTAGTGGGGCTTTTTCCTGTAAGACTGATAGTACTGAGTTTAGAATATTCCACAACATTGTTGTCTCCTCCACTGAATCTGGCATAAAAGTAAATGTTAAAATCTAGCATCCTCTATGCATTGTATTTCTTTTTTTTTCTTTTTTTTCTTTTTTTCTTCTTTTTTACTGTTACTATTTAAAGCACTGCCAGGATCTCTCAGACCCCTAAAAGGCCTTTTCAGCACTGTCGTTACTGTGTAGTATCTCCTTTTGGCCCACATATCGTACAATGAAGCATAAAGATTAGGCCCATGCTCTGGTATTGTGTTCATTTCCATACCTTCATGACTAGATTAAATACGAGCTCTGATGTTTCATGGGGTATCCTGACTAAGCTTTGAACTGATTCTCTGGTTATTAAATCACTTACAGACAAATGCACTGAAGATAAAACCAAAAGTAAATTAAAAAAAAACCCTTCACCTATAAACTATATGTCTGTTTAAAATAAATACAGCAAAGTCTGAAGCATGTTGTATCATCAACAGCCTAATACTCTACTTTCAAAGTTGCATCAAGCATGATGAAGACAGGATTTGTGCTAAGATAATCTCAGCTTTCAGCATGCTACTGAACATTTTTCAAGGGATGGAAGATCGTAGAATCATAGAATGGTTTAGGTTGGAAAGGACCTTGAAGATCATCGAGTTCCAACCCCCCTGC